CTGATAATGTTGCGGGAGTTAGAATGCATGGGTCACTGATAATAATGATAATGATAATAGCTTTATTCCAAAACAGTATTTGCTATACAGAATGGAATTCTCAGCATTTTACTACAGTATTGCATCCAGTTAGTAAATTAACAATAAAATAAAATTCTACAAAGATTAAGGGTAATCTCAATTAGTTTTAACAACAACATATTAGCATGTCGGTAGCAAAGCCAAAATTAAACAGAGTGTTTTAAGGTGCTAGAAAAGTAGGTTCTAGCATATTTACTAGCGTAAGCAGAAGAAAGAAACAAAGCAGCACATAACAGAAAAAAGAGAGAGAGAAAAGGAAAAGAAAGGAAGAGAGAAAACATTGTACCGATAAATGATATGAGTTTGAAAGACGAGATCCAGTTGTTCTACTGACTATTTAATGAGTTAAAGGTTTCACGCCTAATGCTTTCTTTATCACACAGAACACGAGCTAAGTAGGGTATGGTTGAGTTTTTGTACTTACTAGTGCGAGCATACAGTTTTCTATATAGGCTTCTGGTTTTGCCTGAAGACGTACAAGGGGAGAGTTGTGAATGAAGAGGGTGGTGTGAGTTAGATAAAATGGATTTAGCCCATTTTTTACATGAGTCCAAGTGCCTATCAACCAGAATATTAACAACCTGGTTAAGTGGACTTCCACCAAGATGGATGAATGATGAAATCACCTCATAATTATATGTTCCCCACAGTCTGATCCACACTAGGTCCATAGATGCATGTTAGTGATAAGCCCCAAAGTTGGAATGAAACAGATATCGAGTACTTCTTGATTTTAAGCAGTTCTCTGAATTGTCTTCAATTTCTGTAGCAAAATCTAACTTGTGCTTGTGAATGGATATGAATGGTCGGTATTATCTGAGTGATTTTTTGGTGACCGAATGATTTGTTGTTGATGGATTAATTGTTTGATTGTGTGCTATGGCGAGTTGTGAGATGAGAATGTGAGTTATGCTGTGCACGTCTGGCGCGGTTAGCTTACTCGGTAGAGCTTTAGACTTTTAATCTGAGGGTTGATTTTTCGAGCTCACCATCGGGTGGCGGCTTTTGCTCGAGGCTAACTACTCGTACCACAAATGTACACCGACACTGTCACCAGTTCCCATCGCCATGCTATGCATGTCCTACAGCCTCAGATACTAACTCCATCTCACATAGACTACAGTCCTCTACGTGAAAACAACTAGTCGACAGTGACAAATACACCACCCACAAACAACAACAACAATACAGGCATATACACGATGCTTTAAAAGGCAGCCGCTATAAATGCATGTATACACGATAAACAAAAATATACAGCTTATTCATTGTTTACATAACAGTCATAATAATAGTAATAATAAGGAGTGAATGTTTTTTTTATATACTTGTAACACTTTAACCTCATTTCTTGTCATGTGATTAGTTTACTTTTGTAGGTAAATCTGTGTCTGAAATTTAAGATACTTTTTTTGTAAGTCATCTTATGATGGTGATGAAAAACAGTTTTATTTATAGGAGGTCATCATCTGTCACCTGCTGCTCTGGAGCCAGGTTCATCGGCAGTTCGATTCGTATCCTGTCCAAAAGGATTCAAGAACACTATCTAGCATGGTTGCAAAAAGGCAGTAGTGGTGCCATGAGGAGTGCGATAATTGAACACCTGTTCAACACTGATCACTGCATCTCAACAAACGCCTCCTGCTTCAAAGTAATCTACAGAGTCAAAGATAACCTACGAAAGACAATACAGTTTTGTCTCCTTTGTATCGCTGAAGCTCTGACCATTCACATAGAAAATCGGAGCTGTGAATACAAAGGAGAATTACTCAACCACTTCTATTATCATGGTAACAACTCTGTTGATTTTTGATGACTAATTCTTGTATTCATTTAAAACTCTTACATAATTTCATATTCTCTACTTTGTTTCTATGTACATTCTGAGTATAACTCAATGATCAAAGTATTCACATTATCACGTAACTCCTTTTTTAACAACTGTTTGTGACAACTCATCATCTCTGCTACTACCCAAGTTTCATTAACACCCAGTTTTCTTGACCGTTTTTGTATTACGTAACTTCACCCAAAACTTACTAATTCTCACCCATTTAGTTAAAATAACCATAACCAATCGTATTTTTGTTTGACAAACTTAATGTACACACACACACAAAATAACCCATATATATATATATATATATATATATGCGATTGTACAGCTAAGAAAATAAATCCGCGGAAAAGAGACTCTTCGCTGAACTACGTGTTTTGTTTGCATAATGTCTCAAGCACAACTTTATTCTGGTGCCAAATGATTAACCTCCTTCTGTAATAAACTGGCTGAATTCATTTTTAATACATTCATATGATAATAAGAGACTATATCTACCATATTTAATTGGTATTTCCTAGATTTGTTGTAAGTGAGAATATAAGGAAATAAAAATGTTCCTTTTGTATTGTGATGACTTTGCTGACCCATAAGAGCTGTTAGAATTATCGTAATACTAAAGATTATCTCCCTATTAATTCATAGAGATGCATATTTATCAACTCTATTGCACTCTCTATAAGTTTTGGGAATGAAATTATCAGAGGGACAATATACACCATAGTTGTTTTAATATTGCCCCTATATATATGAGAAACCTAAACCATATCACACAACTTTTAATTAATTTTTAACTGTCAGTAATCAGGGAACAAATCAGTAAACAAAAGACTACAAAAGTCAATCTGAGTGAACAGTATTCTTCTCAATAATTTCTCTTCAGGTTCTTACAAATATAAAATATGATATTTGTTGTCGTTACAATAATGTTGCAATAAGCTCGACTAAACCGAAACTTTTTATCCAAAAAGAACACGTTCAGGCACTGTTCTGTTCTTACCGTGGCCAAACTTCGCTCAATGGTTCTTCTTCTTCTCCCCTTATCTTTCTTGGTTTTTTGTTTCTTTGCTTATTATTACAATTATTATTATTATTCGTTATAATTTATACCCTTCATTCAAACATTCTCTCAATACAATCGAATTGTCCATTTACACTATTCGGACTTCATATTAGTGATACTATCTCTTTTCTCAATATATGCCTGTACTTGTTTCATTTCACACATTCGTTACTTCATGATAAGCCTCTCATTGCAGTCTTACTATCTCCTCTTAAATACATATTACTTTCTATTAGCCACTCAGTCACCTGACACGTTTTATAACCTTAAAACTGACTTGTAAATTTTCCTATCTCACATTCTACGAATTTATTAGGACTAATCATCACCATTGTCTCCCATTTCACCGAAATATTTTAACTGATTTCAGCCTAGCACGTTTGTCACACAAATACGACTATTCATTTCGACACCCCGTAACTAATTTGCTATTCTTCGTTAAAAAAGTATCCACCGCATAACTGGCTATCATTATTACAACGACAACAAATAATATATTTTATAATTGTAAGAACCTGAAGAGGAGAAATGATCGAAAAGAATATTCTTCGTTCAGATTGACTTTTAATTCATGATATGGGAATATGTCTAACTATTAAAAGACTACAAGTATGAAATTAGAACCCTTTAAATATGTAGATAATGAACAAATTAAAATTAATAAATTCTACGTCTGAATTATTTTCAAATAACTTGACACTAATAAGATAAATTGGTCAATCTAAGCTTTGAAGTTATGACAGCCTCATGAGATAAGCTTGCTCCACTTAAACATGTGACTTATTCACTTAACATTATAAAATAATTCTCATATATATTTAAGTGGATTTTTTAAATTTTTTTAATCCCTTTTCGTTCCCAGTGGACATAAGGTTCAAGCTAGAGACATTAAGTTCCTGTAGCAGTGGTGATTATTCTTTACGGGATAAGGTTTCTAGCCTCATACCCTACCTTTACTCTTTACTAGTCTTACTACCGGCTTAGGGAGGTAAAGCAGTGCGTTGACCGAGGATCGAACTCTGAACTACCTGCGTGGTCGGCGAGCACTCTATCATTCTATCAGAATCATAATTCTAGTTAAAATATATAATCTATCTAACCTTTACTTCACTTATATTTACCAATTTAATGAAAAGTGAATCTTAAAGGACTATCTTCTTCTTAGAAGTTACAACTGAAAATTTTAAAAGATAGGATTCTCAATAAAGCAGGAATTAAGGTGGCATTGAAACCTACAAACTCACTCAGTTGGGACAAGCTCCGTCGGCTAAAAAATCCAGTGGATCCAACTAAACAAAATAATATAATTTACAAAATACCTTGCAATGACTATGAGTGAGGTCAGCTACATAGGTCAAACTAGTAGGTCGAGGGGAGTTTAGTTGTCGGAATATAAGAGTTTAGCTAAAGTAAGAATGGTTGACCCCACCCGCGAAGATAAGTAATTTAGAAAAAAGGCCAGCGATTGCACTGCATCCATTAACACACAGTAGGGTGGGAGGGGGTTAAAATTCTAAGAAGTAATATATGTAGGCGAAGACAGGGAGAGATTGATTACTGAATCCTGGTTCATCGAGTCTACACACCCAACACATGCAACAGAAATGACTCAATGTAAATACCAGAGATATGGAAGATAGTATTACCACCAGTCAAACCAGAGGAGGATAATAGATAATTTTAAAATTCTATTTCAATTCACGTAGATTATGACATTCAAACAGGTTGCTTATTTTGACTATAAGAACATCTTATTTCCCATCTGATTGTATTTAACTGGTAACACTCATATTATTATTTCTGAGTGTACATTATCCTATGTTGATTTTTATTCAAGTGTCTAATCATCAATTTTACTCATGTATATAAATGAAGTAAAAAGTTGTGTGAGTGACTTTATAGGATAATTTCACAATTTTCAGTTTTATTTCTATCTAATTAGTAGAATAAATGTTCATTGAAGTACAATTCATATCCAATTTCAAATTTTAAAAACAATTCCTGGGCAGGCATACTTACCGTCAGGACAAGATAAATGTGGCATTGAATTAAGCCATCTTTTTATACTGATAATGTGTGCAGATACATGTGAAGGATTCTCTCGAACTTCTTTAACAGCCTTTTCTTTGAAGAACTTCGAAAGTGGCGTATTAGGTGACAAGTGAAATGATGAAGATGACATATTGACTTTTTTTCAACAAACGAACTCTGTCAAATCTAATTAATATGAATTTTTACAACACGAATTTGGATCAAAGTTATCACTGCATTGTAAATGCGTCTAGATATATATTTATGCAGAATAGGCGTATGTCTGATTCAGCCAATCAAAATCATTCCAATGCACAATGTCTATACGGATCAATAAACTGTGAGCTAACGTGTCTATACGCAATCATAATTACCTGTAATTAAGCAGTAAATGGATAGATTTAAAAAATTCTTCTTCGTCATTTGTGCTGCACAAATCGGCACTCAGGAAACAACTAATGAAAGACGATACTCCAAGATTCAAGGTCATGAATGTGTCAATGCGTCATCTGGTTATTTTTTTTCAATCATTAGTTTGCCACTAAGATTACGTGCGTTTTTTTAGCGTTTTTCATGTCTCAATCAGCTTAGATCAGTTTTGTTTATTGGGGAACTAGTGCATCTAAATAACAGCTACATAATCAGCTTTCACAGATCTATAAAAATCACTAATTGAGTTGTGTAGTTAAGTAGACTAGATATTATCGTTGTCTAACATTTTATTTATAAATTATATTTCCCTGTTAATGATTAGATGTCTGAAATTATACATATGCTTACGCAACTCGTAAGACTGGGGAGATAATGCTGCCAACTCTTAAATAGACATGAAATCCAGGTGATGAAGTCAAACATGCTATTTCAGCATTGTGTCGACATGCAAAGGCATATATTTGCATAATTTCTAAGCTTGAAAGCTTACCAAAGTAATCACAATACTTTCACAAACATTTTCATAATCGATATTTTTGCTTTTCTCTTTTATTAATGAAGCCTGAAGATATTTTGGTTAAACAATCTCAAAATTATTTCCATTGTCAAATAAACTTTTGTAAATATGGGCTGATAATTCCCTAAAATGCTCTTGATTGTTGCTTGAATTCCCTGTAAAACTTTCTGCTGATGCTTATGTTAACCGTCATTAAGTAGTACTGTTTGGCGAGTAAGTGAAATTTAGAAAAATTGGGATGATTTACGTATAGTAGCCTAAGAGAGTAAATACGAACAAAAGGACACAATGCGTAAGGAATGTAGCAAAATGGTCAATACAGAGTTTACCATGCTTAAAATGAAACTCCTCATCATGCAAAAACAAATATTTTGATTGGACACTGGTCAGTAATTAGTGTAATATGCCTCGTCCTATCTATGATGCAGAGTGAATTCTATCAGTCACGTTGGCAACATAGCCACCATCCTAAGTGGCCCGCCATTATGGTGTACTTTGAATATTTGATATTAGATAGTTGGAGGCAGTCGACATGAAGCCTTCGACCTAGGTTTCTTGCTATTTGCCACTCACCCACCTGTCAGCAAGTTCTGTCTGCAACCTGCACCAAGCAAAGGACTAGACACATTATACTACTTACTAACTAGCCTCCAGTCATGGTATCCGGAACAGTCCTACAGTACGCCAATCATGATCCCGAGTAGCTCAGCGGCAATGGCTCTGACTCTAGGCAGAATTGGGTGACGTGGATTCAAATCTCAGAAGGGACATGTCTTCTTCAGGATTGTAGATACGCCTTGCTGACTGGTAAGTGCAAACTAGCACGAAAGCTGGTTCGAAGGCTTCCTGCCGGTTGCTTCCAACCATCTAATTTTAAGAAAACAAATATAGATTCAGTCCAGTGAATTATGTGAGCGATCGTGCAGAAGTAGTGACAGATCTTAACAGTCATATCTATCCAGAATATGCTGCTAGTCTTCAGTAAGCTGCAGTAGGTAAATATGAAACAGATATGTTGCATACTGATTTCGCTGATAACGGCGTCTAGACCCACTTTCTCCAGTAAACAGTTAATCTGCGTCTACTTTAAAGCTTCATTCTTAAGAAATACGAATCGAAATAAAGTAATGCTATGTTTGTGGAGAATGAATTAGCAAAATGTCTTATACCGTCAAACCTTGTTAGGTCATCCAAAACATAGCACTGCCAGTAAAGTGGGATTCTGATACATTTATTGTAATGTATTTAAATTTAAACCTAGTAACATTTCTTTTCCTCTCAATCCTTTCTTCCAGATGAACGTAGATGATATGCTGCTCTACCATTCAAATGCATTAGAATAAATGTACCCAAATACTAGGTTACTCATAATCCTATGTTTTCTGAATTACTTAGCAACATGTTGCTTACCGTCAGTCGTCTTTCTGCCCATAAATGCGTACATACTCCTATCGTGTCAGATATTTAATAATTTGATGTGATAATATGTTTGAATTATAAGTGAGTCATAACATTTTCGCCAGTACTAATATCAGTACCTCATACACTGTTCTCACACGTCCATTTTCATGCTGCCAAAGATTTCCACAGTAAGCTTTAGAGCTTGAACAGCTTGTAATTATTTCATGTAGCTGTGTGAACTGCTAACGTGCCCTAGCTATACAGCTGTTCTCACTCTACACAGCAAAGATCTCGCTACTGGCTTGGCATTACCTATCCATACAGAAATAAGCCAATAACTAAATCTAATTCAATTTTAGATTTTCCTATCGAATGACTGGACTGAAGTACCCGGTCTCAAGTTGACATGTCGGCTTCTTGAACTAAATAATTAATTTGACCTGTTGCACAAAAAGAGGTCTAGTGGATAGCGTTTTGGCGTCTGAAATTATGGGCACTGGGTTCGAGCCTCTGTTTGAACATAATCACTCACTGTGGAATGCAGTACATCCAGTTGACGAGTCCCAAATATAATGAAATGCGCATCCTGGATTCCATGCTTGTCACCATCCACCAATTAACTTATAATAACTAAATTTTCCAAACCTCCAGGAAAATAAACCAATAGGAATCAACCTAGCCAAAAGCAACATAAAGCTATCTGTAGCCATTTCCCGTTAGCAGGTGATCAACGAAAAGAAAAGTCAGCTAGTTGTTTAGACAGATAGTTACAAACAAAATAGAATCAGATTTTAACAATGCCTATCTCATTCATGTTAATTGTTTGAAGGTAATCGACACAAAACCTTAAGCTATTTTTTGTACTTTGTGATAGTTTCATCAAGCAGTCAGACATGTTGCTGATAAACAACTGAGGATGTGAATAACCTCCAGTGGAACTGTCACGGATATACCGGTTGGTCACTAAGGTGTAGCTATTGTTACACTGCCCACACCTTAACTCTGCTTGAATTACACCAGTCACTTTAGCAATACGATTATCAAGCTAGGCGAAGAACTTGAATGTATTTCAATAATATCTTAACTTCCTGAAGTATTGTTTAGAGACTAAATGTATCAAACCTCCTTACAGATATTTAAAAGTGTTATACACCTGTGGCTAACGAATATTCTCTCTTCCGCAGTTAACAAGATCAAGTGGACTTATGCGTGGGTATAATAAAACTGACGTAACGAACAACTCATCTGATATGCTAAACACGCCTACTCGTCCTTAGTACCTACCACTTCATTGAGTCACGTAAATACAAAAAGACAAAAACTGGTCTGTGACTATTAGCATGTAATTTTATTTGGAAAACGCATCATATTACTACATTTTTATGACCACATTAAAATCACCCCAGAGCAGTAGAAACAGATTTTTCTGATTGGTAGACGATTCGTCTAGGTCGACGAAAAATAAATATTCTGATTGGTTGGTGATTTGACCAAGACCAAGGTTAGAAAAAGATGATGAAATTTTGCAACCATCCGATCACACGATGAATCATGAGATGACTACTATTTTAAGTCGACTGCTTTTAAAATGAAAGCTTGAGAGTACAAAAAAGCATCATTCCTCAGCAATAGTCTATGTGATACTTTCATTTCCATTTTTGACATCCTATTACTTCTGTCTCAAAATCTGCTGTTTTACCATCATATCAATTATTAAGGCATCGACCAAAGTTTATAGAATATTACGTAACCTTAATATCATTCAACACTGAATCCAACGACTTCTTGTAAACAAGTATCATAAGATTATACTTCTGACACATACAATGTGTAATTTTAGGCTAAAATCTTTAAAAACATGACGATTTTAAACATCCACCACATTTAGTTTCAGTGTGATTTAGGATACTGAAAACTTGACGTTGGTCAAAATCTTTTGTTGAAAATCCCATCTATTTGCTGAGTTATCCGCTACTTTATTTGTCCTCACAATAACAAAAACAAAACTCAAAGCTCATCAAAATAGCATAAAGGCGTTGTAATTACACATGGCTTTCTGGAATACTCTATCATCAAGCACTGAATTAGTTTCTTTGAGGGATTTCACTATTACGAATTCGAATACTTAGTGTTTGGAAAGTGAGGTTTAGAGTGAAAACAAACCATGATGTAGAAACACTTCTCCTCAGTGTCTCACTTACTGTGACACTGACCTCAAACTAGGACTGAAAAAATACCCCAAGTTATAATAAATTCAATAAGATGAGACTTATTTGAATTTAAGTGAATAAATATATTAATATTTAAATTCGAGATTTGCAAACTGATTCGGTATTTACAAAATTACACAGTGAAATCTCAAAGCAGTTTCTTTTGGAGAGCAAAATTACTCATATCACAATATGTAATCTGTTTGACAAAATAAACGGCAATCAAGACAGCAAACATAAACGCATGATGCTGTAACGCTGCGTCGGTGGCTCGGCGGTTAGGACTCGCCGACCATGCATATGGTCTAGGGATCGATCCCTGGCCGACGCAAACCTGATAACAATGGTCGGCCTGCTAAACTTGGGCCACCCATATCACATGGTAACCTCGCCTAGGTTACTAGCGTGCTAGTTTCTAGCTGGTCCCAAGCCCGGATAAAGAGGGAGGGTTGGAGCGTGGTACTAGCAACTCCACCCCCAAAACTTAGCCAAATCGCTACAAAAACTTCAACGCACAAATATATTAAAAATACTAAAAATATAAATAATAACCTTATTTTTCGCTGGAATCGGGGAAGTGAATTGACACAGGCTGGTGAAAGCCTTAGGGAAGCCAATCAGTCGATATGCCTTCTTCTGATGGAAGCAAAAATAAGGACGCGGACAAGACTCCAGGTGAACATAGACAAGACGGAGGTTATGAAAATAACCAACCGATGACAACAA